ATCACGGATAGACGGAAACGATAACTAATATTAGTCGGACCAAGCTGAATTTCGGCTTACCAAATCAACGCCTCATAGAAGCAAAACTACAATATCAGTCGTTAAAATAAGTGATAAAATACAACAGTATATACATACCAACAGTTAAAATGTTCATTATAGATAATAGGGTTTGTCATTTGTATGACACTGTCATATTATTTGCTCAGCAAATATAGTTACAATTTAAGAAGGTGGGATTTCTTCAAAAAATAAAGTGTATCAAGTTGAGTAGATGGAAGTATACACGAAGCGATGTTATTTGTTATCCGGTCTGAATACACGTGGTCGCATACAGGCACACCCGACCGATGTTTCTTCTAGAACGTGTTCGTATCTACAATGAAATAAAACACAAAACATACACACTTGTTAGACACGTGTAAGCAGTCAATATACAGGACTCAATCTGCTGGGTCGGCGACGACAACAGCTCGTTACGTTCAACCCGAGTGTATCTTTTTATGACCAATTCCCGTTTTTTCGTATTTACTCAGATCGTACAGTGCTGAATGAAAAATATCATGACTTATTAAAACAAAATCAAATCACGCGAAAAAAAAAAAAGTTACAAGGAAGTTGAAGCGAGGAAATATTTGCGTTGAATTTTGTCGCACAGACAAATTACAAAGTACACACACACACACACACACACACACACACACACACACATACACACACACACACACACACACACACACACACACACATACACACACACACACACACATACACACGATCGATGGTTCTATATTATTGTCTTAATTATGTCTTAATAAATTTATCTCGATGACCGTTTTTCCTAGGCTGAATACAAACCACAAAATATATGTTCTGAAAACCACCATTGGATTCCCTCCATGTGGATGTAGCCTATGCAAGTATAGTTAAAAAATCTATCATTATTCCAATATTTATCTTTTATTTCGACCCAGATGTAGAAATTATTTTATTTGATTACTAGTACTTACAGATAGAATCCGTCTTTGCAACCACTTCGTCTCAACACCAAGTGGTTGTATTTGATTTCTTTGCATCTGTTTTCTTGAGAGATCCCACCGGGTGCAGACGGGTCGATACAGCCATCACAGCGACATCTAGCAACCGCTATAGTAGACGGGAAACGATCAGCATCTTTAGAAAGGGTATAGGTCCAGGGACACAACGCCAAATCTTGGTCTGTTGCTGTTAAGGGGTTTGCAATTTCAACGGGGCAGGTGAGATTGTTTTCAAGGCCAGCTGGGTACGGGTTTTCGTCGTACCCGATTGTACCGATCATTCGGGCGGTTTGCTTATAAGGGTAGATTGCGAATTCTGGTTTTGAAGGAAGTTCACTTGATGACAACTTATGCTGCAAATAAGTCTGCGGCGGCTCTATGCAGTCGCTTATTGTTGGAAGGTGGTTGATTTGGATACCAGCAAAGCCGTCGGCCTCTTGCTCTGCATCGTCGTCTGATTCTTGAACTTGATGGCGATCTACGAGAATATACTCGCCTTGTTCCTGGACGTCGTCATTCATGATTTCGACACCCACTGTTACCATGGAGTCGTCTGGATATTCATTGTGCGCATTTCTCTTTGCGATTGGTCCAGCATATGAAATAGACATGCAACACAGGGCTACCAGAGTTAGTACGAAAACCTATAAACGAGGGAATCAATGGTGAACAGTCAATATTATTAAATCTATGGTGAAAAACAAAAACAACAGAAATCAAACTTGTTTTTAGATAGTAAATACGAAATATAAACCAATGTAAAATAAAAATCACACGAGAACTAAAACAAACATGCACACGGCTGGTTATGTTGTCTACAATATGTATTTATAGTACTTACGGTATTGGCATACATGGTATCCACAACTTGAATAAACCAACAATCTACTTTCTGATTCGCGGCGGTAGTGTTGCTTCTTCGACCAATTCAGCTCCATATTTATAGCTTTCCGTCGACAGAATTTGGAAACTCCCAGCACGAGTTGTGGAAAGTTACACGGTGTCCCGAAATAAAGGAAAGTG